CGTTGATAACTGCTGTCATGATACAAATGATCTCAAATTTTTCATTTTAATCGAACCAGCTAATGAGAAGAAAGCCTGCTTATTGGTGCACTCTGAGTCGCACTCTGCACAGCCCGACTCCAAGTGAGCCTTGAATACGTCTGTAAACAGGACCCGACACGACTCTGTGGCTCTTTGTATGGCTTTAATTTTGTCACTTTCTACACACACTTTGAATGCACTTTTCAGTGTTTGCTGCCTTGACTCCCGTACTCCATCAGCAGCAGCTCTCCTCTCCGGTCCCGGTCACTACTGAAATAGGGAAAGCATGATTAGAAGATGTTCACCGACTGTGCCAAGCCAGCCTTCCCCTACCACCTCGCCCTGAACCCACTGCTCCACTCCTCCTCTGCAGCAGCACTGCTAACCACACCCCACCATAAAGTTGAACAAAGATTAAGTTATCGATGTATCATGTCCCATTTGGGCATTAGCTTGCGATTGGTTTTGAGTTTTGGGAGGGGAGAACTGTGTGTCCTGTACCAGAGCTGGACCCTCACCAAAAGGTAAGATTCAAGCAGAATAAGATGAAATGTTCTCAAACCGCAACCCTGGAGGGAACAAAGAAATCCCTGGAAATCCTTCTCATCCTAAGAAAAAAAAAAGGGACATTGAAAAATAAATTTTTGCACAGTTTGCACGCTGCAGAACTGAGCACCATCTTAACCCACCTGTGAACAGTCACGTGACCAAAAACACAGTTGATTTGAGATGGTGCTGTTTGGTGTTTCATTGACTGAGGAAGAGCAGGTGTGCTGGAAATGTCACTAGATGTAATAAATAAGGAATTTGCAGTTGCAAACCATAAGTTATTTTTCATAGGAAGTAGTAGACTGCTGTATTACAGTTATTTCTGTAAATGTACACGTTTCTACGCAAGATTTATCCTGATATTTTCAATTACCATCAGCTGAAACCAAAAACACTGAAGCCAATCGCTGCTTTAAGCCGACTGTCTTGTTTTATGTCAGCGGCACACAAACTGCAGCATTATGTTTCAAGAGGATTAAAACTCAGCAGGAACCGTAAGAGGACAGACTCATCAGGAACGAGCCATCTTTTGATGTTGTTTCAGCTTCTTGAAGTGAGGAGAGGGAACAAAAGTTTCAAAATGCTTCAAAATCCCATCAGAGGAGGATGAAAGGGGTCCAGGAGTTGGTATTAGAGCGGGGAAAGAATGGAGATTTGCAAATCGTCACTTCAGTGAGTCGACAGGTTGATTAAATATTCAGTTTGATATAAGATGAGTGTTTAACTCGCCTGACACTCGTCCTGAATGAGCCGCAGCTGCAGTGCTGCTGTATGGCACTCTGCAGCCTGAATGCATTTTAGTGGGATATATAAAAACTTCCAAAGACACTTGACCTGCAGAAGAAGCGGCACTCAGAAGAAAAAAGTTGCTATCACAAAATTAGCAGAGATCACATGATTGCAGAACATCAACTAGACCTGAATTAGATAAAACGGAGGAGTATGTAAGGATGCAGTCGACAGGGTCACTTTTAGAACAGACCTCTGTCTTGTACTGAGACTATTTTAACGGTAGCAGCTTTCTCATCCACGGTTTTAATCTCAAGCTTTAGTCATTTTGACACAATCTGTTGTAACTAAAAGTCTTACCATTATTATTTTTAGCACAAAACTGTGAGTTTGTCTCTTTGCAGCCTGTCCAGTGAAAAATCTTTTATTTGGTGCATCAGATTCTCAGAAAGAGGCTATTTTTGCTTTCTTGCCACTACATTTTTCTGGCATTGACTGAGCTGTAACCTTGGCGATAGCCGCTTTTGCCAATTTTGTGTTACTTCTGCTCTGTGCCAACAAGTGATCCCATTTCTGTCCAGTTGCACAAAATAAAACAGTCAAAGTAAGATGTCTCCTTTTTGTTTTACTCTGTGTTTACAGATTAGACTCAGATGCCTCAGGTATCATTACATGATATTTTAATGAGTATGCCTCTGTTGTCATGAATATTAATTTGGCAGAAAGACATGTTGGAGCCTCGTCCAACATGCATAAATCAAAACCATCGTCAAATAATACTCAGCTCCGGGAGGCTGTTGTAAAAGTAGAACTGGAGTATTTTACTAACATGTTCAGCTGTTGTCATCGCTGCTCTTGGGTAATGTAGCATGCTCTGATCACCAGTGGATCATTGCCCACTTTTGGAACCGCTCAGAAGTTGTGTAGCCTGTTAGCAGAAAGAGTGCTCATG